CTTGTTACGTCCATCAGTCCCATGTTGAACCCTTTCATTTACACACTGAGGAACAAGCAAGTAAAACAGGCCTTCAAGGACTCAGTCAAAAGAATTGCATTGTTCTTAAATAAGTAAGGGAATTTGCTAGTGTAAAAGTACTCTAAGTGTACTGAAAAGATTGTGGATCTCTAAATATATATTTTTGACTTTTTACATAATTCCTTTCCTTGCAAGGAAGGAGTTTCAGGATAAGTGTTCTCAAAAACAAAACCTACCACCAGGCAACTAAAGGACTTCACATAATAGAAAATCTGAAAGAACCTGCAAAAAAAAAAAAAAACAGTCAATGCATTCACCACATATTTGGGATTGAGTAATTGCGTTGATAGACTTTCTCAATTCTAATATTTTTTATTTATATATGACAGCAGAATGCATTACAATTCTTATTACACATATAGTACACAATTTTTCATACCTCTTTCTGTATACATAGTATATTCACACCTATTCATGTTTTCATACCTGTACTTTGGATAATAATGTTCCTCCAATTCCACCATTATTTATAAGTCCATGCGCTCTCCCTTCCCATTCAACCCCACTCCCTTTCTAGAGTTCATCTATTCCTCCCATGCCCCTGTTCCCTATCCAACTATGAATCTTCCTCCTTATATCAAAGAAAACATTCAGCATTTGCGTTTTTGGGATTGGCTACCTTCACTTAGCATTATCTTCTCTTACTCCATCCATTTACCTGTAAATTTTATGATTTTATTCTCTTTTATTATAATATTGCATTGTGTATATATCCCACATTTTTAATCCATTTGTCTCTTGAAGGGCATCTAGGTTGCCTCCAAAGTTTAACTATTGTGAATTGTGCTGCTATAAACATTGATGTGGATGTGTCCCTGTAGTATGCTGTTTTTAATTCCTAGGTTATAGACTGAGGAGAGGGATAGCTGGGTTAAATCTTGGGTCCATTTCCAATTTTCCAAGGAATCTTCAAAATGCTTTCCATATTGGCTGTATCAATTTGCAGTTCCACCAGCAGTGTATGAATGTATCTTTTTCCCCACATCATCACTAAGACTTATTGTTGTCTGTACACATAATAGCTGCCATTCTGACTGGAGTGGTTTTGATTTGCATTTCTCTAAGGCTAGTGATGATGAACATATTTTCATGTATTCATTAATTTCTTGTACATCATCTTCTGAGAAGTGTCTCTTCAGGCCCTTGGACCATTTATTTATTGGGCTATTTGATTTTTCAGTGTTTAGCTTTTTGAGTTCTTTATATACTCTAGAGATTAGTGCTCTATCAGATGTGTGAGGGGTAAAGATTTGCTCCCAAGATGTAGGCTCTCTATTCATCTCACACATTGTTTCTTTTGCTGAAAAGAAACTTTTTAGTTTGAGTCCATCCCTTTTATTGACTCCTGATTTTAATTCTTGTGCCACAGGGCTCTTATTAAGGAAGTTGGGGCCTAATCCCACATGATGGAGAATAGGGCCTACATTTTCTTCTATTAGACATGGGGTCTCTGGTTGTATTCCTAAGTCCTTGATCTATTTTGAGTTGGGTTTTGTGCCTGGTGAGCGATAGGGGTTTAATTTCATTTTGTTGCATATGGATTTCCAGTTTTCCCAGCACCATTTGTTGAAGAGGCTATATTTTCTCCAATGCATGTTCTTGGCATCTTTGTCTAATATAAGATAATTGTAGTTCTGTGAGTTAGTCTCTGTGCCCTCTATTCTGTACCATTTGCCTACCAGTCTGTTTTGGTGCCAATTCCATGCTGTTTTGCTACTATTGCTCTATAAGGTTTGGTATAGTGATGCCACCTGCTTCAGTCTTCTTGCTAAGGATTGCTTTAGCTTTTCTGGGTCTCTTATTTTTCTAGATAAATTTCATGATGGCTTTTTCTATTTCTATGAGGAATGTCATTGGGATTTTGGTTGGAATTGCATTAAATCTGTATACTGCTTTTGGAAGTATGGTCATTTTGTTAATATTAATTCTGTCTATCTAAGAGCAAGGTAGATCTTTCCATCTTCTAAGGTCTTCTTTGATTTCTTTCTTCAGGGTTCTGTAATTTTCATTATTTATATCTTTCACCTCTTTCATTTAATTGATCCCCAAGTATTTTATTTTTTAGGCTATTGAAAATGGTGTAATTTTCCTTCTTTCTCTTTCTGATGATTGGTCAGTGATATGCAGAAATGACTTTGGTTCACGGCCTTTGATTTTATATAAAATTCTAATATTGAAAGCCTTTTCTAAAGCATGGCACCATTTCAGGCAGTGGGGATGAAATAAATAAAAAACCCACTAATTTCCTGTCCTTTTGAGTTTGAATACTCTGAAAGTCACAGGGCAAATGAACTAAGTTTAATAGAATTTACATGATGTAAGATGCTAAGATTCTTTTTCTAATTTTTTTTTATTTTTTAGTTTTGATGGATCTTTATTTTATTTATTCTATTGGTGCTGAGGATTGAACTCAGTGCTTCACACATGGTAGGGAAGTGCTCTACCACTGAACCACAACACCAGACCCCAACATTCTTGAAAGACTTGTATTTGCAAGGCAAATGTTCATATATCTATATATTTATTTTGTTTTATGACTTATCTATAATTAACCTTTAGCTGTCGAGAAATTATAATTATTAGATGACTATAAAATTATTTTAAAAGTGAACAATGTGAGGGGTAGGGGATATACCTTAGTAGGTAGAGTGCCTGCTTAGCATGCCCAACCGCCTGGGTTCAATCCCTGCACCAACAACAACAACAAAAAAAGAAATTGAAAAACATTGAATGTATATAAATTAGCCATATAAATGACTACAACCCAATGTAAATTTATGGAAGCTGTATCTCCATCTATTTAAGGCTTTCAATCTGTTGATCTCATAATCGGTAAGGGGCATTATTGCAATCTAGACAACTTCTTCTTCTTCTTCTTCT